CTATTTTACGTGATACATATTAACATATGTACAACCGACTCCTGGAGGAATTGGTTGAATATTTAAGGACCTTCGCCGCGCGATGCACGCGAGAGCACGCGAAGCGCGTGCGCAAGGATGTTGGAAGAAGGATGACAACGGAATTCGGTCCTTTGGAATTTTTTATCTCTCAGCGGCCAGAAGTCCCAGAGCAATTGTCTCGCTTTCTTCTTCGTCCTAGCGTCTGTTCTTGGTCCTTTGTTTCTCTTTCCCGTGCTCGAGCATTATTTCTTGCACGTGACATTTCAGGAGGACGTCTATTCGCCGTACGTCCAGAACTGGGACGTGCTCGGCCTTCTTTTTGATTTTCTTATCTCTCATTCTTCCCTCTGATGTAATTCATACCTCTGTAATACGTAATTCCTTCGGCGCAGCAGTGTGCCGCCCATCGTATCTATTTAAATACCTGTTAAACTCTTAACAGGAGACTGCTTGAGAATCTGAAATATTAAGGTGCATGAGAAAGAAAATTATGTGCCAGAATTTAATTGGATCCACTTTGGAATAAAATGCACATCAATGATGCACTTCTTAGTACTTGAGTAATTTTCTTAAAAATTTTGAACGCAAGAATAAAGAAATACTAAAAGATCATCTTTGCAGCTAGAGCTGCGAACGGTAAAATATTGTACAATGCTCCTTTACAAGTCTTATTTTCGGCATGTTTTTATTAATATAATACATTTTTATTTATCTTTATAATATAATTATTAATATATTCGCTAAAACCAATGCAATAAATCTTTAAGAAGTTTATATCATCGCGTTGTACTCTATAAAAATTTCGAGACACTTAACTTTTGTTAATCAACTAGCCATAAAGTTTATAAAGCTGTTAAAACACACATAATGACTGGAATTAGAAAGCCTTTATACTGCAATATCAACCTGTCGTTTTATTTTATCTATACGAAGAAACTAAGCACATAAAGCGCTCTACGCTCCTCAAGGCTTCTACGAGCCATCATCGAAGATACTGAAATGCATCCCGCCAATGCGCCGCAAATTACCCTGTAAAATGCAAGAAATGGCCGTACAAGTAACTTGCCATCGTCATGTTGCCGGCGATATTAGCTGTTCTGCCAGCGAGCGTATCTATGTTGAAACACGATCGCTTGGTCCAAGAGTAAAACTCGCGATTACAGAGTCTTTGCGAGTAAACTAACCGAGAGGATGTCACGACGTTATAAAGCGGTTTTCTGTTAATGAAATAATTAAACCAACACGCGACGGCACGTACATCGCTTATTATTCCAACAAGTCGGTCGCAAGCGCCGAGATCAATATTGTACCTTGAGAATTATCACGCTTAAGATTGTTTTTGTCCCTTCAACAGCTCTGATATTGTTCCCAGGAATTAAATTGCAAGAATATGTTCCATGAATTTTCAATATAATATTTTATTAATAAACGTTGTTAAAGAAATTCAATTACAAACATAATTTTGGCAAATTTAACTCTGCAAAATTATAACAATATAACAATAAAACAAACAGTTGAAAGTCATTTTAAACTCCATTTATTAAGGAATGACATTTATTTTTGTCAAATGTGTTTCGAAATGGCTTGAATCATTCATATACGCCGAATATACGGAAGATACAATGTAATTGCCTGGGAAATGAAAACAACCTGGAAACAATTAAATAAGCAATATTTCTGCCGGTTGAAAAAATTTCGATTTTCAGGCAATTTAAATGCTTTATCATCACAGCGTTATATTAACAATCTGTTGGGTAAAAGATATCGAAATGACGCAAATGATCATCTTCTGATATTTGTACTCTGTGCTCGAGGCATTTGCACGATTAATTTTGTGTCAATTGTGACGTGATAATACGGTGTACGTCAATGGTGCCCGGAACAGTTTTATAATTAGATCGTTCTGTTCATTGACAAGACGAATTGAAGATATGGTCTGCGCCGTTACGCTTGGAAACGTTTTTAGAAGTTAGGGGAAAGTTTAAGGGAAAATGGACCACGACGCGTGAACACGGAGAAACTCTCGAGTATCTGGAAAGTACTTAAATACACCGCCGCACGTAGGAAAAGGATGCTGTACAAAGATGCAATTAGCTGTATCGACTTTAGCACACTACTAGAATCGTCTAGCAGTTACAAAAAGGATATAACGATCGTTTAAAACGAGAAGAATCAATAATATCTTTTAGTTTAGCAGTAAAAATAAATAAACCGTGGTAATATGGTTTAATTGTAGACCATAAAACATGACTTTGTGATAAAGTTCGAAGCCTCTTTCTATCAATTTGATTGTTGAAAAAAAAATATTTTCACGGTTTATATACATTTCACTTGATCAAATATTTTTAATATTTGCATCTATTGTTTTTCAAAATAATCTCGAATTACTGCCTACAATTGTAATTCGAATGAGTGATATCTGTCAAAACGAATTATTAGTGTCCAGAAATACGAAATATATATTTATAACACTCTATTTTCAAAATAGATGACATAGGTAGCTGTTGTGTCAAAATATTGATGTTTCCTCTTCAAAAATATCGTGTATCATCCAAAAGCCGATAATGCGTGAAACCCACGGTATCGCTTCAACGCTTATGCGCACTGAAAAAACTATCAAGCTGCTGTGCGATATCGTACATTCGGGACGTGGGCATCAAAAAATGTTTTGCGATATAGTTAGCAGTGAAACTTTGTGAAATAATGATTTTGTTGCATCTACATGAATATTCGTGTAACAAAATATATAAATCGGAATAGAAACTAAAAATAAAGCGGAGTGAAAAAAAACTTTGCTCGTCACGTGAATATTAGACATAGCAGATGACAATGAAATAACTGGATCTGCAAGTTGAGAAAGGTAGAAAAAAGTTTCATTGATAAAATTAATAAACGCGCGCTATAAAAAATGTTCTAGAGGCTAATGTTACGGAAAAGCGTGTTATTTATTAATATGGCGGGTCACTGAAAAAGTAATCTGCCCCCACGGTAGAGACTTGCCTTCGTAGCAAGCTACTAGAAAACCAATAACTGCACTCAGGACGGCGGGAAAAATGATCGGCCCGATGATATTGCGCCCGAGATACTCAATATCGTTTTTCCCACTCGCAGTTAACATGTATCTTGATAAAGTGGAATTGAGCCACGTGGAATAGAGTTCAAGAATACGCGAATAAAGCTGGACGAAAAGGATCGTTCTTAAATATTGCTGTAAGATAATCGGCAGTAACAGTAGAAATAATAATAACCACTGCTTGCAATGATATTTCAGTAAGATTATGCGCATATTTAAGATATAATTACATTTTTTCTCATACAACTTTATGCGATGTAGAATAACGAGAGGAAAGAGCCACATTACAAGAGAGAAGAGTGACGATTTATTTTAAAAAAATATAATATCTCTCTACCATTCTCCAGATTTATTGCGAAACGGAATATTGCGTATAATAAAAGCGGATGAAAGGAATGTTATGCATATCTTTATTTTTCAGTATAATATCCATGCATTGTACAAGCGTATTTTGCCGCAAGCATAAGTGGACGGAGATTATATTAAAAAGTGTGCAGGCAGGAAATCTCTTTTGATCGTGTAATTTTCACATTTTTCTACGCAAAAGTATCCCAAGAAAAATAAGCTTACGGAATGAAAGTAAAATAACGAGAAATCTCTCCTTTTTAAATTTCTGTGCGCATATATATTTCATATTTACTTATATTTGTGTGAAAAGCTCCGAAAAAAATTAAAATTAAGTATAGATGTAATATAGATGTACGCATGAAATGTGTATGATAGAAATTTTCAACGCAAATTGGTGTAATCAATATTATTTACTAAATCATTATAATCATCTAAACTTTGTTTTCTCTTCATTTACGAAGTAAGTCTCTTCCATTTTCGAGTTTACATAATTTATACCTTTATCCACTTAGTTATTTTCAGCTCTTAGTCTGATATTACCATTCTGTATTACTCTTCGCATACGTATGCATTAGCATTCGCGCACGAGGCTCTTCACCTGACTGCACCTGGTTGCACGTTGCCGCACATTACTTCCAGCTCGTGTGTGCGCTCGACGTCGCGACGCCCTTAGTCATCAGCAGCGTATATGTTGAGACGGCTCGAACGAGGCCTAGAGAATGGTGCGCGCGGCGTTCGGCTTTACCTTACCGGTTCCGCAATATTCCGTCGCAGGAAATCGTCGGTTTTCACGCCGGGAATCGCCTGAATGTATGTTTTCCCTCTCCCTCTCTCCCTCTCCCTCTTCCTCTTTCTCCATTATAGAGCTCGACAAATTGACATTTCCAGCAACGATCCGAGCCTTTCGCGACTTAGCGCGAAATATCGAGCGTAGTCACGCGCACTGCATTCGGTGCTGACACAATGCTGAATTCTTGGCGAAAGTTTTCGGTGCAACGAAATGGGGCTTGATTGTTCCGCGCGTTTTCCAATTAGTCTAGTCGTTCAACGTGGTAACCGCTTCTCTCCTTGCACCGTGTCGCCTTTAACTCTCGACGTGAATAAGTCATCGTGAAACTTGTTAGGACAAACATTTTGGTTCCTCGCTTTGAAATATAGAGAGTTTACTGTACAGTTGGCGCAATGCGAGTAAAGACTGAGCGTGTTCTATTGCGCTTGGAAAAAAAAAGAAATTTATTGCATTTTCTAAAACGTAAGAGCAATGTATGCAATCGTGCGAAATATTTTTATTGCCACGAACATGTATATTTTTTTTGTCGTCTAATTCATTTTTGCAAACTATTTTAACATGTTACGAAATATCTACATTATTAAATAGAACATGTCTTAAGAAATATTTGTTTTGATATTTATTCAATCTACAATTTTCTATATTTTTCTACAATTTCGGGGATTATAATTAAAATATATTTACAAAGAAATATATATATATATATAATATGTTAACTTGATTTTATAACACGAGTCTACATAAAATTGTTTTTTTTTCTTGTTACAGTTTGGATAGAGATCAACCCTTCACTTTCCAGTTGGGTGTAGGACAAGTTATCAAAGGGTGGGATCAAGGTCTCCTAGATATGTGCGTAGGCGAAAAGAGGAAGCTGACGATACCACCTGAACTTGGATACGGCGAGAAGGGTGCTGGAAATGTTATTCCTGGTGGTACGATGACAAATTTTTTCATTATTTTAAAGTTTAAAATTTGCAATTGAAGTGAAACAAATATTATCAGAAAAAATATAAAAGTATTTTATCTTATAATTTACTTTTAACAGAAATTTTATTTGATAGTTTTAATAAAATTAATTTAATGCATTTTAATTAATAATTCTGTAAAAGCTTTTCAGTACGTTTGTTATAGAAACAAATTCAACAACTTTTTTAATTAACCTTTAAAATTAAAGTATCTTACATTAAACATACGATACTTATATATAGAAGTACGCAATAATGAAACCATCTCTCAAATTAATAAAATTCCCTCTGCATATTTTATCTTCGTGTATAATTTCTATACTAATATTTCATGCATATATATTAATTACTGAACACTTGACTAAACTTGCAATAAAAACGCAATAATTGTTATATTTTCTCACTTCTCCTTTTCTCTCTCTTTAAGATATGAAGTAATTTTTTTTTTTAATATAGATCAGTAATTACTTCTGAATGAAAACATTATTTGGGACATGAAGAATTATTAATTGTCCTTTTTATCCGTAATTCTTCCAATTAGCTGTAAGAATAAATGGCCGGCATGCTGGAGCATTTCATCATTCTTTCGCGTTTACGACGAAAAACCGTCGGTGTCTCTCTAATTGTTCAGAGCTCTTCTGCCAATTGAGACACGCATGGATAGGTGTATATTCGGCAATCAATCGGACCGCAATGGTGTACATCGCGATTAAAAGGCATCACGCTGACATGGGCATTTTTCGAATTACATGCGGGACCGTTTTTGCGCGAATGATGAGGGGGATTGAGGGAAATTGTGGTGCAGGAAGGGAGGGAGGGACAGTATCGGGCGGGACGACACAAGGGTAGTCGTTAGTAGCGGAATCGAAGTCAAAAATGCAATTGCACGGAAATCCAATAAAGTATCAACCATTAAATTGAGCACCGTTGCCTGGCTCTCTATGACGGTGGAATCAACAGTGATGAACGATTCGCCTCTTTCGCAGAGACCTCGCGCGTAGATAAATCGCCCCGTTACGCGCCAGTCTCCCGGTATATTTTAATTACTTTTTAAACACAGAATTCACGGGTTTATTCAAAATCGATACAAAACTTGACTGACGGAATTATGATCGTCTCGCGAAATTCATAATTGTTGTTTATTAAGGATTACTGTTTTTTTATCACTTTCATGCCAATTACGCAACTTATTTTATCGTTAAAACGTAAAGATTAATAATAATAATAATTAATCAACTGTTAGATATATTCATTTTTTACACAATACTTGTAACTTACAAGAAATTAGGAAAAGATGTAATTTTTTTTTGTCCTGAATTCTCTTTTGCAGTATTTTTTTACATGTTAAAGAAACCTCTTAAATATCATATGAGCAATGCAATGTAAATTAATTTATAATTCTATAATCTGCGATTACTCCGGTACAGATCTGCACAATAGTGCAATCGTACTATTGCACTATTGCACAATTGCACAATAGTACAATAATACACATCAAATATTAATACTAACACTAATTACGCGATGATTTTTGACCATCTTCCGAAAAAAATACAATATTTCGGAAAATTGTTATCGTATTGAGATATCCTTGCTTTACATATACGACGATAGAAGACTAGAGAGAACCGAGGATCGGAATTTCCCACCCAAATACCATCATCCCTCTCCATTTCTCACATCCAATTTCCACGGTGACGGCAGCCGTTACTCCGGCCGGCGCATTATTATTCGCCGTATTAATTTCACTCGTTTAAATAGTGAATAATTAAGCGCCATATTTCATTAGGGCCAGCTTAATCGCGACGGGACCATCCATAATTAATGGCTGGACGTGCCGGGCGCGCACATGCATTCTCTCCCGTGTGGAGCACTTCGTTAGTCCCCCCCCCCCTTCCCCTCCCCCGATCGAATTTGCTGGTCATTGTTATTTCGGATATCTATAGACGCCGATACTGGCCGATCGAATTTCTGTACGCGACGTTATTAGCGTCAACCGAATGCGTGTGCACACATGTACACGCGATTAATTCTCCATCGGTTCAATCTTAAATTTCGCAATATATTTTATAACTTTTTTCACTGCACTTTTTTTTTTTGCTGCGAAACAGTCGAGATATCTACATTGCTTCACATCATGAATTATTTAAGATTTAGATATTTGAAATCCCGATGTAATTGTTTATTTTGAAATCGCCGTGTGACATCTACAAAATACGACTTGCGTTGCTTTCATGAATCGTGTTACAGAATTTTATAGAAATAACGCGTAAATTTCGATAGAATATAGCGCTCCTGCATTTGATATAAATACAAGCTAAATATCACTATTACATACAAATATGCAAATAGAAATTGAACTATTTTTAACAAAGAGCAAACTGCTTTCAAGATTTATTTATTCTATATAGTATTGTGCTGTTTGTAATTTCATCGTCGACAGGGAAAAAGTATATTATTACCGGAAGAAGATACAAGTATGCGGATAATAAATTTTTTAATTACGGCGGTTATTTTGTAACTTCAAAAATAATAGACTAAAATTTAATTATTACGGAAAAAATTGTATTCCCTGAAAAAAAATCACACTACACTGAGAAAAGTTTGATCCATCGACGATATTAAATCAGCGGCGAGAAAATATTTCAAGTAACAGAATAACTGATTCAATTACAATTTTAAGAAAAATAATAAGCATTAAACAGAGATTGATATTTGAATTTACAGCGCGAAAAGTTGTACAATATTAACCATTATAATTTCTTCCATATTTCTTATAATTTGACATTTTTTTCTTTTTATTTCATGTTGTTCTTATAATTAGCTATTTCTTTCAAGTGCAAATATTTTTATTCCTTTTACGTACATTTACATACGTAGGTACGCGTCGATTTTTCTTTATCGCGCTTCACTATATACATATTATATATGCTTTACATATTCCTCATGTACATCCACTAAAATATATAAAAAGCTTTGTCGTCTGACAGCGGATCGATGCGCCCTAGAAATGATTTACGAGCCGGATCGAGATTAATAGTATGTACAATACATCTTGGATGCGCAAGAATGGCCTATATATCTGTTCAAAAAGCATTTGCTTCGATCCTTGGCAGTATAGATCGCCACCTAAAATACGTTTATTATGGCAGGATCATATATATATGTATATACACTGTCCTAATTTCGCGTCTATAGGTCGTAAAGAACAATGGATTCGGCACGCTGGTCATTAACAATTATTTCGCATTCTGACTGTCGTATGTATCAAAATAGATCACACACACAGACACACATACACACACGCACATATGATATGATACTAAATATGCTCACCGGCCGATGTCCCACCGCTGCAATCCGTTGGTAGCATCGTTGTTTTAAACACATCTGTAGCAAACACATTAATTAGTATGATTTATTCATACGTCGCGTCCGAATTGTACAAACGCGATGTGTTTTCGATACGAAACACGACGATTTCGAAATTTCGATCATTACAAGCGCAAGAGCTCATTCTGCTCATTAAAAAATCTGGCATTAAAAATTAGAGCGACATGTTTAATAGAACGGCGTTGCGAGTCGAAAAATATCAAATGTGAGTATCATCGCAAAATCCAATTCTTTCCGCTTGCATTTATCATCATCTTAATTGGCGATGCAATTTCGAATGAACAACGCAAAACAATTATCTGCATAGCAATTACGTTTGAACACATTAATTAATACTCTACGATGCTTACCTATTGTTCGCATGTGTGTCTGAAAATTGTTCACTGTGATCGTAATCCTGATCTAGCCCGAAGCCAATGGACGATGTTAGCCACTTGCTTTGTATAGGTCGAGGATCTATAGAACCGTCACAACACTATCTTACTATCACCAGCTCCAGCTGATCGTAGTAATTACGTAGCATTATGCGTACGCGCACATGTATACACGCGTGTCGTGTTTATTCATGAATCGTGTGTGCCTGTTGGATTTTTAAAATTCAGCATAAAATTGACGTAGCTCTGTGTGCGCCAAAAATGGATCTTTGCATTCGATAAATATTTATACCTAGTGCATATGCTCTTATAATGACATATACTCGAATATACATACTTATAAAAATGAATAAACCTTTCGACTCGCGATGTAGAAATCTTGTCGTATACAAAATTCATGATAGGCTTTCTTTAATGTATAATTAATTCCAAATTTTATACTGAATCGCTGGAACTATTTAAGGAAAAGATTTTATGACAAAAAAATTTTTATCCCAACAAAGTGTATAAATAAAATTTAAAACAGATTTTTTAGGTAAATGTCTTTGTATCGAGGGGCGTCTAATGTTTGTCCGTTTTACATTATACGCGATTATAATATTTCGTTTCTATATTAATAATGCTTAATAATATTTCAGCTAAATATATATAGAATAGTAGCAAATAATTTAAAAAATTTAAAGGAATTATTTTAATTTAGTACTTTAATTGCGAAAAAATTGCTCGAGTTCTTTACTGTAATATTTTATAAGTTGCGTAAATTGTACAAGCCATTAACATGAAAAGTTATTATTGATTTCAGGTGCTACTCTTACGTTTGAGGTTGAGCTCATGAATATTAGCGATTCTCCTCCAACCGCCAATGTCTTCAAGGAAATTGATGCCGACAAAGACAACCAGTTGTCCCGCGAGGAGGTGAGAGCAATGGCAAGATCACTTTGAGTTTTCTTCATTTGGGCCGTTTGTGGTGCTGGTCGTAGAGAAGTAGAATTACAAATTCTTCGTTTGTTTTTATAAACTCGATAAAAAAATTATGATATTTTAAGTAAAGAAATTTAAAATTCTAGAATATAAGATTTCAACGCATTGCAGTAAAGTTCTAGGCCTACCAAATGATATGATATAAAAGTCTACGGCATAAAAATGAGCAAAGTGCACATTTGATTTATTTTTATGCCTTAGAATGCCTTTAAAATCTTATCATGTCATTTGGTAGGTCCGGAATTTCACCGCGATGTATTAAAATCTTATATTTTAGAATTCTAGACCATTTCTTTGTTCAAAATATAAGATTTCTATGCATGGCAGTAAAGAAAATGTACATTTTCTAAAGTTGTAACCTAACAAATGTTACGCTATAGCATTATAATGCATAAAAATGAATAAAATGTACATAGTTATATTGCTTTTAATATTTTCGTTATTTTCGCTATTTTCGTTAATTCGTTGGTGGGCAATTTTTGGTTTCCAGGTGAGCGACTACTTGCGGAAGCAAGTGATAGAAGCCGAGCAAGCTGGCGCCGGGGAGAACGAAGACGTAAAGAAAATGTTGGCTGATCACGATAAACTCGTGGAGGAGATCTTCCAGCACGAGGACAAGGACAAGAACGGCTTCATCTCCCACGACGAATTCAGTGGGCCGAAGCACGACGAGCTCTGAAGTCTTCGACCCGCATTATCGCGTCTCCGAGCGCCCGTTGTCGGCGTCGTCACCACCTTCGCTGTAGGCGACGCCGCCGCGCCCCGCGCCACCACGTGTTCACCTCTGTATAAAATCGCCTCTTCGACTCCCCTCTCGGGGATTCCCGAAGGATCCACTGATCGATCGTCCCGAACATACGCGTGCCCGAACTCGGAAGACCAACCGAATTTACCAGCAAACTTTTCTGTCTCAGCATCACCGACGGTCGCAATGCGAGAGGAATGCGGCCTTCGGGAATCTCCGGCTCGTCGTGTCGCATTCGTGTCCTTGATCGTAGGAGACTTTCGGGAGTAGGTGGACATTCGATGAGATCGACAACGAAATTCGAGAATCCGTAAAGTGAAACTGGTTTTTGCAGCTTTGAGAAAAGTCCTTCGAAGCTTCGAGAACTGTTCGATGGCCGTAAACCCATAGTTTGAAAATTCCTTGACCTTTGAAATCAAGGATGTTCTGGATAGAGGATACGAATTGCACTCGTTCGCGAGTCATGTGTACGCACAGCATTACTCGAGAAATCGAGAACCTGCAGAGGGACTCTCGATCAACTTCTGACGTAATTGCCATCTGAACTTCTTTAATCCTGGCACAAATTACTAGGAACATCCGCAAGTCTTTCGTTATCATTTTATACGTTTTTATAAGAGATAAAATCTCATTTTAAAAATATATCAATGAATGTTCGAGTTACAAGTCTTACAACGGAATTATTTCTGCGTCTATTTAATTTTTATAAATTATTTAGAAAATAATAAAACTTGAATCATAATCTCTCATTAAATAAAATTGCTGTTTGACAGAAGATAAATTAAATTATTTCTTTTCGTTGCGCTAAATTGCTCCAGCAGTTTGTAAATTTACACGAAAATCCACGGAATTCTCGCGGATATTTCTAGGCAGGCGACATTCCGGCGCAACGACGCTATTGTACATTTTAATATGATATTACAATAAAAGAAACAAAAAATGCACGAATGCCTGCTCGAGTGACTGCACTATTATGACGTGATGTGAAAGGCTGTTCCGCGCTATATATATTATATATAATATAAAGAGAAAAGGAGAGATTGATGATAGAGCGAGAGGAAGATGTGACGGAGAGAGTGTTTTTTCTACATGATTATAAATGTTAGCATAACTCAAAAGCATCGACGTATGGTGCTAAAAATCACACGCATTCTGTCCTACTCTTAAAGCTTCCACCAACCCCCAACAAATCTCCTTTATCCAAACCATAATAATTCCTCGCTCCAGAGTTGCGCACGCGATATTCACATTAGGAGACGAGAAGAGGATGATGAAAAAGAAGAGGATGAGGAAATATCTCGAGGATGCGCAGTGGAGATCAATGTGGTCGCTCTTACGCGAGCTTCCCCTATCGTCGCTATCATTATTACATTTTAACTGATATGTTTTTATTACTACATTATATTGTATGTTGTTAAAGTTGGATGAAGGTTAATAATAAATCGTGTGTCTCGAGCACAATTTGTTATAACCACCTCTTTCAATTTCTACATCCCTGTCTTTACTCGCAACGTTATAATTTCGGAGACATATAATAAAACATTTCTACGCGATACATTTACTTTTTTTTTATGAACAATATTACGCTCATGCGTATTTATTTTAAATAATTTGTAATTTATTTTTATTTTATGTAATATTTTAGTTATTCGAGAATGTTTTATATTGTCCAGTATGCTTTCTCTCTATGTCACTTAATTTCTGTCCTCATTAGCAATGAAATCGATCGCTATAAATATTTATTTAATAATTGATTACCTATACAACCCATTCGTTATTTTATATTTAGTTGTTGATAATTGCAATGGTCAATCATATTTATATTTCATATACTTAATATGATAATTGATATACTTAATGTAATACTCACCTTCGTGTTACAGAAAATCAAGTTTAAAAAATTCCTTAAATCAAATAAATAGCATTGCTTAAAAAAATTCTCAAACAAGGAAAAGGTTTAGAATAAAAAAATTACGGCCAGTTTATAATTGCTTTTCGTTTTATTCCAAGAATTATTTCCACAGAGTTACAATGATTGCGATTATGCGCTTCTACGAAACGCAATAATAAAATGATGATTAAGGTAATTAAGTTGCTTCTCTCGCTAGGCAAGTGTCGTGCCGGCAGAACTTCACGTCGTTCGGCATATATCGGTATGTTCGCTATTCGACAGGAATCGTTCTAGAATATACGTAGTTACGTCGTATGCAAAATAGCTATTATTTCGTTGTAAATCGACGCGAATAAAAGCATCGATCGCTCGAGTATTCGATCTTAAAAATTGATTGATCATAAAAATTCATCGAGGCACATGGTGTCATATATATGATTGTCGAGTCGACCCTGTCGTTCGCAATTCGAGTGAATCTTCCGAGAAGTACCGAGTATAATACGTAAATGTACAATACGTAAACAATGCGCGCTTAACTCTTTCCTTTTCAAAGCAAAAAACATAAAGAAAGTCCTACATAACTGCGCCATCGAATCTTCCAGGAATTTCTACGGGTAGCAAAGAAACAATTACGTGAAACAAAAAAACTTTTTTTAAAACACAGACATCTATACGAAAAATAAATTTCCATAAAAATAGAAATTCCTATAGATTTTAATATGCGCGAGATACTTTTCCTCGCACATAAATGACGCATCGAGATGTTTATTTGATCATTTGCTTAAGTCTAAATCACCGATTAATACTTGTCTAAACATTCACAACAAAACGTATTTTTTTTTTTCCTCTATTCGTACTTATTTTCTGTCTTCATAAATCGGACGAAAGGTGCACACGCGAGGTGTACGCGGGGGCTTTACACGAATGTCGAATTCGGCGAACGTTAGCGACGTATCGTGTGGTATCAAGCATCGAATCGTTTGACCTCTGACCGGAACATGAAGACAGGATTCTAAGCCGAGACCTTGACGGGGATTGCGAAGTCTTCACCAAGTTTCCGCCATTTCGCCCCTTTGCGATATCGACGTCGCACCCTTCCTTCGCCTCGTGGGAGCATATCGTGGCCTTCGAGTATTATCACAGTCAGTAGCCTTTGATGTAGGCGGCGATGTGTTTCTTCTCCTCTTCCGAGAGACCGTTCTTCAGCGTTCTACGCACTGCAACAGAAGCGTAACGTAGCGGTTTGCGCCGATAACATTTTCCACATTGTTGTAAGCAAATGTGATGTGCGCCAATACCTTTATTATTTTAATTTATACTTTCTATGTGACGATATAAGCTATCTTTTACCTTTTCATGTAAAAAGTATCAAATTAATTAAAATAGAAAAATAATATTTTCATATTCCACAATATTTTACAGTACTTAGCAAACACCACTTTTACTTAGAACTTTTCAAACTCGTGTACTGAAAATTTTCATCAATTAAAAAGCGAGAGAAATCGATAAGTAACATCGTAATTGCAATTTTTGTATCTTTTTTGCATCCCCAACGTATCTAAATTACTTATAAATGGACAACAAAAAATGACAGATTTCTCAGCAACGTGTTATTCCCAGTGCACGAGATATTCTTTTCAATAACAGAAAATAAGTGAGTATATCACGATTCATATTGCTGCGGCATTCCAAAAGGCATGCTGCGAAAGAAGAGGAAACGGCTGAGTTATGATTGCAATAAAATTTTATTATCACAAAGATTCCGCGATTTATATCGACCCATTGCATCGTTTATCCAGTTCAAAATCATATTAAACTCGGAGAAGTTCAATTAACAAGCTTGTAAATATGCTATTATCGCATTTGATTGTTTGGTAGATGTTAACATTTTTAAACTTCGATAATTAATTTAATGTCGTCTGTATTTATTATTACGTGAGTTCTGGAAAATATATTATGCCACGTTTAGCCTTTTGCTGGTAAATTTTCACAAAGATTTGAAACAATTTTATAATTATAAACAATTGTATATGCAAAATACCGCAAGCTGTAATTCGTTAAATATGTATATCCGTATTGATAAAATAAAGGAGCCAACGCTCGTTAATTATGGCTCTTACAGTTGAGAAAAATATATGACATAAAGTTTAATAAAAGTATATTGGACCGAGTTCTCTCCGTAAGACTGAAACATAATTAAAATATAATTTCAATTAAAAAAAAAAGAATTAACAGTCAATGGCTAAAATTTGCATCTGTTGCCAATTTTACTGCTTTAGGTATCATTTGAAATGCTCGTTAATCAGTTGAACTGTTGATTGTAGCGGTGTCGAGATATACGTATATATATCGAAATTCTATTATATATGTCGCGTTATTTTGATCACGTAAATAATTAGCTGGGGTTAATTTGCCGCTTTGTGTGGAGATTAGTCGACGTGATGGTTTGCCAATATATTTGATAGTAAACAAATCCTTCACTATTGGAATACTGCTATGAAGTTGTTCGCAATGAAAACAGCTATGAAAACCGATGGTTGTGGATGAAATAGAGAAATTAAATCAAAATTTAAATAAAATTTCTCAAAATAAATGCTGATAATACCCGCATGACAAAATAAAAATGTAGTCCTCTTTTAGAAAAATAATATTTTGTTTATTCTTCAAAAACTTCTGAGTATTATTTTTATAAATATTATACTCTCTCTCTCTCTCTCTCTCTCTATCTATCTCTCTATAAAAAAAAAATTATGTATGGAAAGCAGTACGATGTACGATCAGTCACACACACAAACAATTTATCTACTTTGCATTCGATTTTCAATGCAATTAGTAAAATCAACAGCAAATTAGGGTGTTATCCAGATAAAATTACGGTTTCATTAATCCACAAACATAAGATCGATAATACTACCTACCACAACTATCGTATTTCAAGAGCATCTATTTGGAGATAATTATGCTATTATTGCGGACCCTCAATATCGATAATACCTTTCTTTGATCCGGTATCGTATAACAAAGGACTCTTTCGATCACAAACTTCTAGTATTGCGCGTATATTTTCTTCCGTCTACAATTGCCTGCTATCCCTTTGATCCTTCTCGTTATCCTTGCAATAGAAATGTATTCGCGCTTTCTGAGGCCCAGCGGGCAAATACACACAAATGCATAAAACAGTAAATTCATACTTTGCTCCTCACGATAATATCGATAATGATGATTGAAATAAAATATTTATATTTGCTGTTGTAATCGGAGATAAAAATATAACAAAATTAAAATAAATATTCTCATAATATTTTAATAACATTTATGAATTCGCCAGCATCGACAAGACTATGTCGAAACTATATGGAATAAATTATTAAAATATTCATACAAGCGAAATATTTTTCGCAATTACGTTCGAACTGTTAATTTGCCGTCATAAATTTTAATTTTTCTATAAAAGCGATCATATATAAAGATTAATAATTCTCTCTCTCTCTCTCTCCTTCCCTTTTACTGTCCATCGTTCGAATCGATGAAGCTTCGAACTCTGTGAGGTTTCAATTTAATGTTGCTCAGTTAAATCGCTCGTGCTCGAGCGACTTGACAAACATGAAATCCTCCAGTTAATTATTTGCCACCACACATGGCGCATGGATGTCATATACGTAACGCGTGCAACCCACACATGACACTGTAAACGTGTTGTTAATGGAATGCAAACTGATTTCGCTTAGCGTTCGCTCCAATCAGATATCTTTATCGACCTTTGCAGAAATTTAATATAACGATGGATAAACTTCTATAGCTAAAGTATCACAGCGCGTCATATATATAACACTTCACACATATATGTACAGTGTTAAATCATATATGCAATGTAATAGAGTTGTTTGATGATAAATTATTGGCAATTATAATCACGGAAATTGATGTATAAATAACAAAAGTATGTCAAATACTACAAACATATTTTATCACATAATTATATAATTTCTAAAATATAAATAAATATCGCGTACAAGAAATTTTTATGATAATTAATCATCGTATTTGGACTTGTAGTTATCGTAATTTTAATGAAAATAATTTCCAAATTTGCAAATATTAATTTTAATAGATATTAAATTTAATTACATATCAAATTTCGTTATACATTACAGATTCGATTAAATATCTATTATTAAATTTAATCTTAATAAATATAAGAATATATTTAAATTTTAACCACTACAAATTTTAACAAGTATTAAAATAAAAATATATAGTTTTTTGGTAAAAGTATTCTTTAAGTATAATTCTGAGTATTACAATTAAAAACTTTTATTTCGATTTCCATGTTCTTTTTAGGAGTGCGCCATGCATTTGCCATATTTGTCACGATATAGAAAAAATACCAAATCACATATTGATAGTTTGACGTGATATTAGCGTAATAAAAATCATAGTTTATTCTCAAACGATCGCACGTCGATAAATCATTCGACATCAATCCAGTCGTGGTGCATCAATAATTTCGTTAGCAAATTACTATGTTGGACGGATCGATGCGAACGTCCTAGCGAAGGCAGGCACGTTTTGCAGGTCAGACATCGATGCTTTTCACATAAAGCCATGAAGATCCAACATCTTAAGGTGTTAAAAATAAATTTATTCGCTGACTTTTATGGCTTCTTTCAATAAAAGCATCAATTCATCTTGAGCACTCTTGTGCAGCACATTCAAAAAGCGTCATATTTCTTTCCAAGATTTGATCCATCTATTCATTTATTCTTTTACTGCAAATATCTTTGAAAGTGTTTCTTTTAAAGTCAATCCGACGTCTGATCGATTTCTTAACTTAAAAGAAACTGTTATATATATATATATTATATATATATATATTTAATATTGTGCACATTCTCTCGCGCGGATTTCAAACAATTAAGTTACGCAATTGAATTTATTTTATATATTATTTTTACTTCGCATGGTTAAGATAAATTTTACCGTGATTATCAAGTATAAGATAAATTAAGATTACACGCGACGGCGATTCCCGTGCAAGTATTTCGATAAGACGTAACTAAAATATAATCTTGCTAAGAATCACATTTATAAATATGCATACGTCCATATATGTGCGGCAAGAGCATTCCTGTCGAGCTTTAAATGCAAATAGATGAAAAGCGCTATGGGTTTATAGCGGGCGTCGGAAGTTTGCATGCAAAAGGGACATTCGTGTTGCATAAGTCTCTATTAAGTTGAGAAACTTAGACACCACTGGCTTCGTTTAGGAAGTGAACTTTTTACTTACCTTCCCAACGAGCGCAGTTTAGTCTCACTTATGCATATTATAGGAGACTAAAATTGCATAAAGTTCAAGGCGCGCGATCTTAACATATTCGGTTATTCGGAAGCAAAGCCTCAAAGTTTTCGAATAACTTTTGACTTCTCGCAAGAAGTCGCACCATACATGTTTTTTGCAAAAGAAAATAATTATTATAAAAATATCGATCTTGATAAGAAAGTGCACAATGCATCCATTCTTAAAAATGCAGTCTCTTGTTACATATTTCTTATATATATTTTGTTACAATTTGCTATTTTAAACTTTTAATAATTTAAGCTAATATTTTAAGCTATGTGATCAAAGCATGTTTTAGAAAATGTTACAATACATGTATGTTTAATACAATTTACATTAACATGTGCAAACTTGTTACTGGTGCTATAATTTCATTGAACTTTGATTTTCTTTAATAATTATGTGCTCGAAAAATAAACCAGTACCGTTATATTAAACAATATAAATACGCAATATAAATATTAATTGTTTTGTAAATTGTGCAACTTTTATTCAGATTATTTCGATATTTCCGATTGAGTGTTTCCAAATAAAATAAAATATGCTTTCAAATAAAACGAAATAAATAACGGAAAACAAACAGACGAGAATGTTAAATATCACAGACCTTGGTTTCTGCATATTAATATCCAATAATAATTTTGCTAAAAAATATTACATAATCAAGTTGTTAAACATTTAAATATTAGGAAGGAATGTGTCATGCTGGTCGAAAATCGTGCGAGCAATGCGTGCTATGCTGTATGCAAGAGGAACACTGTAAAGGAAAAACCTAAAAAAAGCACCGAACCTTAATCGCAGAAGTCACGAAAGCTGGCCAATCAGGGTTGATACCCCTCCGGCGTAGTGTTGTTCTCTCGGGTGCGCGATCGCTTCACTGTCGGACAGAAAAAAGACGCAAGAACGCTAGGCCATCCCGTTAGCAAGCGTTGCTGTCTATCTTAACTGATGTAAACGTTATTGGAGCATGCCCGAGTTGCGTTAGAATAATAGTTGAATAGTTAGTCATCGGTGATGAAAATAAAGTGAGACCATCACCACGAATTCCTCGGTTACATTAGAGAAGGATAATCAGACAGAGGATGGATCGGAAAAAGGCAAAGAAGATACACACTCGTACACAACACAAGTAGGATAGATCCTCCACCCCCGAGAAATACATTTGAAAAGTCGTCCACAAGCCGAACATGCCATCGTAGCGTATTGAGAATTATTCTATATTATTTAATGTACTATTTCTATTCCTATTTCTTCATTTATCTCAAATTACGCTCTTGGATCTATTTTATCCTAACTCTACAAACTGCCCGTCATTTTTCGAAGCCCTGATTCCTTCAAAATTTCAATAACAATAAGAAATTGTTATTTGAAATATTAACGCGCGTATCGTGTATATAAATATCATCTTTTTTCTGATAAACTGATATACAAATAACAATTATATAAGCGTTGAGGAAGTTTAAGAATTAAAAAATTTTAATCGGAAAGTTATTTTTACTTCCCAAAAAATAAATCTGTCATACTTTTGTTGAAGTTAAATACCCCGTTTTTTTCAGCAATGGCGCGTATGTATTCGATGCATTCGAGCGCATGAACTGGCTTATCATAAGTATCGCCAGAGAAAAGATCGGTCAACGCACCCGGCGATCGGATTACGGGGAGATTTACGCGCTATCGGTCCAACGAAGGATTATTTCGACTTCCTGCGTACCAGGATCGATCACTGTCTAGGCAAAACAGAAACGTAGAAACAGTATAATCTACTGGAATTATGCGGCGTTACGTTATCTCGACTGCTAGACTTTCCGTTCCTCGATTTCCACTCATGTCCGCGCTGGAACTTTCCTCTCACTAACGAATACAGCTTCCAGAAAAATTTCTTTCTGATCGGCAAGTTATGCCGAGTCAATTCTGTGCATTGTTTATGCGCTGTACTTTGCACAGTTTTACGAGATTTGTGTCAAACTTTGAGAACATTTTCATTTACAAGGTTTCTGTAGCAATGAAACTGAGCTCGGTTTTCCTCGGTAAAACTTTAATGGGATGCTTAACGAGATGACCAGCATTGAAATTCTTCAAGAGTTTTGATTAATTAAGTTCTAACAGATTCTAATAAACTTTGTTATTTACGTAGTTCCAAGCGGGCCTTATATTCAAACAAAAATTTCATTTAATTATCGAGATGTTTAAAAATATACGTGAAAAATATAACGTGGCCTCTAATCTCTCTATTTTAATTAAAATATTCTTTCAAAATTTCAAATTAAAAAAAGTTTAAAAATATCAGAGAATTGCATCTGAATTTTTATGTAATTTTTGGAACATTTGTATTCACATATGTATATATCTCGTTATGTATATAATTTCATTAGGTGCAGTTGTGCGTTTTAATCGTGTTCAAATAACTAATATAACTTTACATTAATACGCCTTCACATCTCTCTCTATTCTAAAATCGCTCGAAATTATCGTTCCAAAGTTTCAAATTGTCAAATCACATGAAACTTAGTCATGAAATGCCGATTGTAACAACAAGTTACGTTGGAGTAGATAAATAAAAACGAAGAATAAAGTAAAGGTAGATCAGTGCTAATAAAGAGTGCATGAAAAATATAAAGAAGATCGAATCGAATACACGCGTACGATCGCATGTTCGATCTAAGGGCGTCAACGCCGACATCTCCAAACTTCTCGCTTATCGATCGACTCCGGTGACCCCGCAGCTCTATCCGTGAACCAACCGTACTCAATAATGTATACTTCACACCGGATAATTCAAGACTCTCGTGGCACTAGAAGTTATTGGAAAATTCTACGGTTCGCGCCCAATATTTCCTGTTGTCGATAGAACTTTAATGGCGAATTTTCACGCTACTTGCAAATTTTTATTCCAAAAAGTGCGTGCGCGCTATATTTTTTATATCGTGCAGAAAAAATTCTATATTAAAGCACTATCGCAAAATAGGGATGATGTGCGATAACATTATCCCGTATAATTATAAGTTCGATTTCTAGACAAATTTATTGATCCTTCAAATTCTTAATTACCGAACTTTGATTTCACGCAAATAATTGCGCAATATATTGCACTTCAAAAATTGCCAATAATTTTGTAATCAAATATTGCGATAAATATGGATATCCATAAGTACACCGTCGTATAGTGATTAACTGTCGATTAAAAGATTTTCCTAGACTAGAGATCGATCGATAAAGAAAGGAGAGGAGAATCTGGGTGCAGGGGTGCTGAGGTCACACTTACAAGACTTACGATCGGCGTGTCTGGTCCTTTTGCGCTCGCGTGGCGTAGTTCTGGTGGTTGGTGTTTTTGTCGCAGTTTTCACTAGAGATTCCAATAGTTCGTCAACGCCATCAGCCAAATTGCCGTTGGTGCTTTCGTCCCTGAGCACCGGGCCCAGCGGAATTATACGACCTAAAACAAAATAATATTTCCCGCTGATATTTTCAAAAATTCCTTTCAACGTCGCTTTACCTTAGCAATTATCGTAACAATAATAAATGTACTTATGATTGACCAACGAATTAGTTACATAAATTCTCCTTCTTATAGATTGTTTAAGTCTTTTTAAAAAACCGAAATTTTCTAATAAACCATAAAATATTGCGCGAATATTGATTAAAAATTTGAATGATTACGTTCAAATATCTCCACATATTTCTTCTGACTAGATATCTTCTAATTTTTTTTTCGAGCTATATTCAATTAAGATATCTCGAATTTCCCAATTACTCATACAAAGTAGGAATAGGCGAAAAGAAAAACGTGTTTAATCAAAGACAATTTTCTGCAAAAAATCATATATCTGCAGGATTCGTCTTTCACATCTTCCCGTCTCACTATCTTATTTCAACAGGATAGTCATTTCGTTCAGTCCACAAGGCAAAAACTTTGAAACTGTCAAATGCACAGAATTTCTTTTTAGAGCTTCTTTCAAACTCGTTTTGGAAAAGCTATCGTGACGGTCGTTTCGTGCACTTTCGATACAAGGACTGCGGAGACGAGATAGAGGGTAGTAATAGAATTTTCATGGGTGAAGCGAAAAGAGGAAGGAAAGGTCTTTAAGTCTCTCGCTTGTTACGCTTTCTTTGATGACTGTAGGTCAATCTAGACAATTCATTTCTGTAGTTACTCTACCGTAAGGTATGTTAAACGCTTTCAAATGGCTTTCTGTTCGTTAATCTGTTCTATGGACCTTCCTATGTTCTGTTTAAAGTTCTCGTTCGTTGCATAAGCGGTTGAAATAAATTACACAATAAATTTCTTATAAAATAGACGTTTTCACAAAATATATTACGTAGATATAATTTTAATTAATATTAACTGTTAAGAAATTTGGTCAAAGAGCTTCTGCTGTAATGTAGAATTTCCTTGACGTTTTCTTTTAAGTATAAAAAATGTTTCTTAAAAATTCTAATATTTGTGACAATTTTGAAGAAATAATTTCGAGCTCATAATTTATCATCAAAATTTTATCCGACAGAATGCCGTATATATGAAGGTAATATAAAAATAAGAATAAAGCCGTTAACAGCTGCACAACGATTGATGCTGTGAACGAGCCATTTGTTCATAATGTTGTCACATTAGTCGTTGAAATAAATCATCATTGTCGCACGAACTCGCGAGATTTTCCAGCTGTTGAGACTGGAGAGCCGTCATACTCAGCTGGAAACGCCAGCACGACTTAGACAGGGCGTTTAGATACTTTATGTCGGGACATACACGAGAATAAAGGGGAGAAAAGTTATGATGGCCACAGCCGCGGTAATGCACGTGGGTGGTTGGGTTTACGAGCCATACAGAGCTAAGGTGGGCTTCAACCCTTGTTCCCTGAGTCGGCCTAATCCCCCGCGTGCCCCCCCCCCTCCGCGAACAGGAAAGTAGGAATAAAAATTCCACGTTTTCTCCGGAAAAGTAGCGATCCGTGGTTACAATGTAATATAGTCTTACGAGATCCAGGATGTTGTTAGTCGTTTCTGTGCGATCACTCGCTTAACATGACTTTGCCGCGATTTTGATCGCAGATAACGATGAATATTTGTGCTGTGAATAGATAGATTCTCGAAATGCAAAATTCAACGTTAAATATTCGATGAAAAAATGGATTGAAAATTTATTGAGAAGATATGCGAATATAATTACTGCTTTCCCTCTGTATTATGCAATTAATTGAATATTAAGCTCTAGCAATTATTAATTTTGATTTTCAGATAGTCATATTTATTGCAAATAGTTAGACTTAAAATTTCTTCCGACGGTAAATAAGTTAGGACTAAATTAATAATGTATAATATCCTTCTCAATACGATCAAAATATTATAAATTTCCGAGCTATATTCAATTATTATTTCATAAGCAATAAATACGACAGCGAGTTGATAAAAAGCTGCTGGAAAGAAAAGGTAAAAAGAAAGTATAGCAGATAGCAAGTTTTGTGAACAATGTTACAATGAAACTTACATCGAGTCCAACAGAATTCTTTCGAACGAATTCTAGGAATAAATTTCTTAGAAGCTGTTATTTGCGCGATACTTCTCCGCGCCGACTCGAATAATATCCACGTCGCTTCGAATATTCCCCTTGGAAGTTAACTACTTTTACATTCTACCCTCTTGAGGCGAAGTTACCATCTTATGTAGCGCGCGTAAAGCGCGATAAAGAGTGAGTGAAACAAAATTCCACTCAAGTTGAAATTTTTCTCTCATGAATACGAAATTTATAAAGCAACACTGGAGACCGGCGTCGAAGACATCCTATCTCACGAGCATGCCTTGCAACCGAACGGTGCTACTTGCATTGAATAATGCTCCGCAGCCTGACAATGAGTTATATTTACGGTTTAATGACGCGGCAAAAATATTCAGCCCCGAACGCGTCATCGTGAGTTTCGGACGAGAAAAAATTTCGAGTCGCGCGAAGGAAAAACTCGGCGAGTGAGTCCTCGTGATGCAGACGCGGATGAAGATAACGAACGGAGACTTACGTGCGCCGGTAAGTTTCACGTTCAGCTAAACACGAGGAAGGAATAAAGAACTAGATCTGCGAACGCGCTGTATAATCACGAGAACGTCGACGCATTTACTTCTCGTTTTCCGGTAATGTCGTCAAATGACCCGGCGCTATCCTTAAATCTTGCCTGCAAGAGCTGCTGCTTAAGGGCGACATTTATCTCGCGCGCGCCGCTGCCGCCACCGAGCTGGAACATTACGGAGATGAGGAGAAATTCTCGCACTTTGTTCTTATCCGCGGTGGAATAGCCGACACGGCCGCCGCCTTTTAGAATCGCATGTTATTTTCGCGCGAGTTAAAAGCGAAGCTAAATAGAGGCTAGAAGACCGCCGTCATGTTACGTCGTGATCGCTCGCGGTGATAAAATCTTGTTCATCCGATCGCGAAAGTGAGAGTGCTCGACTTATACTTCTTACTCGATTCATGAATGCGTTTTGTTATTTCTGTATATAGAATATTCTGGGAATCGTGCATTTGATCACTAATTGGCGTTAATAACTTTGTAATTTTTGATAAACAATTTAATAGCCACTGATGAAATAACTTCAAAGAAATACAAAATTTCTGCCATTTACTTTACACAAAGATTAAGGGACATTTAAGGAGTCAAACTCTTTAAAAAAAAATCTCTTTATATTTTTACTTTCTTATGTGTCCGACTTGATTATTCCTTAAAAAATAAATTTGTTATAACTTTTGTGCCCTGTTTATTATATTATGTTACGTAATGGAACATAATGGAGTGTTAAATATTTTAATATAAAGTAGCTATATTATGCAATATTGTGTATTTCAAGTAATTTATTTACAGCTTAAACTGTTCACTGCTGCTGACAACGTAGAATAGAATATTATTTAGTGTATATTTTATTAGACATCATTTACCACGCTGAAGAAGAAAAATAAGCTAACCTAAAGTTGTATGTTAAAATAGAATGGAAAAGAAAATCAAGGGGAAGAAAATCTAGCAAAACTCACCGTCTTTTCTCTGTCTTCGCCATGGTAAAGTGCCGTGGATGCTCTCGACGTCTGAAATGTCACTGCCAAGTAGTTGTCTGAGTTCCGCGTCCGCTCGATCCTCCTTTGTACGGAACTTGCCAACCTATAACAAGAGAAACATCGAGATTTCACGCAAGTAAGCTTGCAAAACCTGCTTGTAAAATTTCACGAAGATAATATTGACAATAAGAATAATCTCAACAACTTTATCAAAGTATAAATGTGCGATATCAAAAGAATTCGCTCATGTTTAATACTCGTGTTTGCGTTACAAGAAAAAAATTTAAAAAAAATAAAGAAAAAAATAAAGAAAAGAAGATCTGCTCGACTCCACATACTTATTAGCGTTAATTAATATTCATGCTATCGTTAATGTTGGTGCTCGGCTGATCAAACATTTGATTCGAAATCAGAGTAATCGATATAAAAATTATACGTCTAGCCGATAAAGAATTTCGACAAGAGACAAAAGAATGTGAAACGGAAATAACTTACCTCCGTTATCATCTTCCCTCTGGTCTTATTGCGTTCTCGGTGATTGGCTTTCTTCTCAAGCTGCTGTATCACTCGTTCCCTCGTGGTTCTGTACTCCAGAGCGAATTCAGACACAATCCTGCAGAACTCGTTCGGTTTTGTGTCTTGTATTCTATGCAACGGTATACCGAGCCACAGGATAAATTTGCGAAAACGATTTATGATACGTCTATGCACGATGCCTAAGACGATTATCCTTTCGGCGCAATCGGCAAGAAAATCAGACATCCTGCGACACAAACGGAAAGCAATGTATTTTTTAAGAGAATATACGCGGGCATATTGCTACTTTATTATTAAAAAGTTACACTTTTGATTGTAAATCAATTGTACTGAAAAATGTGGGAAGGATCAAATATTTAAAGTACGAAAAGTAATTAAAGGTAATGGAGAAGACAAAAAATGTAGATCTATCAAGAGGTTGCAAGGACAATGCAAATGATTATCAGCAGAGAGACCGAATAAAAAGATTAAAGAAAGAAAGAAATGTCCCTTCAGTAATTAATAGAAGCTCCACTTGGACGGTAGCCAGTCTCACTGAAAAAAAAGCTCTTTCCCGAATTTATCGAAGCCGCTCGGAACTTCTTAATCGCGGCTCTCAGGAAGATTCGCAAGAGAAGGAAGGACTACAGAGAATCTCGGAAATTGGTTCATGGGTAGAGAAACTCGACAGGAATTATACTCACTTGACCTTCATCATCGTGGAACCATCGTGCTTCGCAATGAGCTTGAGATGGTCCCAAGACGCTTTGCACTCGCTCTCGAGTTTCGCGATGTTCGCTGCCAGCTCGTCGAAATCGATTTTCGAAGCTCTCGTTACCGCGCCGATCTGAAAGCAAAACCGTGTCGGCGGTGCCGGGAAAGCTATTCCAATTGTCTTCAAGATATACGCAGAGAGTGAGGTTCAAAATTAATCAAAAGTATCTCCTTCTTTGTGCGATAATGATAGTTTTATATATATATATATAAAGTATAATTAAAATATATTCGCATTAAACGAATTTAAAGAAAGGTAATTCGTGGAGAAAGCTTGGGCGAAAAGTTGGGCTTGATCGCGATTTTGTGAATACAAGTCGACGGCATCCCGACAAAGTGTAAAGTTTTTACACCTTTCAATAGTGCTGACTGTCCTCACCTCGGAGTAGAGATCCGTAGAATCCGGGAACTTCTCCATCACCATGTGGCAGAGATGATGAAGCAGTGAGTGCTTGTGAACCGTATCCTTCACTTCAGGTACTTTGACGAGGTATTCCAGCTGAAAGCCCTTCACCTGAAAAAGGATGAAACTCTCGTGACACAACGCATCACCGAGAAAATCGCGCGTCTCGTTTCGAAGCTCGTGAATTTCGACATTTTCACTCTAGACACAGCTCTCTCTCGTAAGACAATCGCTATTACCACGATTAACTTTCATTCGTTCATCCAGTTGAATTAATTAACAACGCAAACAAAAAATTACATGTATATTGCAAGCACAGAAACTTTATTCATTTGATATGTGTGTATATATATATATATATATATATATTCGTATTAACAAACTGCACCGTCGAAAAATTAACCCTAGAGCCACTGGAAAATTTATGGAAACTTTCCTAACACAGCGTTAACATTTCGTTTAAAAACTCTCGAAAATTCCAGCGCCGTTTCGAAGATAAATAGCGAGGCCGTGATTACAGTGAAACTCCGTATTAGACCGAGACTGTTTTCGGAAAAATATGGCACTCAGCCAAATAGCACGGAAAGGCATCCCGCCCGGCCAACAGTGAAGACGAAATTATCGATATCAACGGATTTCGGAACCGCCACGACCCCACCGGTTGCGGGACAGACGGATTAAGCGGATATCATTTGGCTGACATTCAATACCCACCTCATTTCCGTTGAGGAATATCCCGATCGAAAGGAGCGTGCTTAGAATCCCGCGGAACGTTTTATTCACTCGCAAGGTCTCCATACCCTGCTTCAAATCCATCAAAGGGTCCGCGATTTCCTGAAAATCACAAAGACCTCCCGTTTACTTCTTCGTCACATATGCGCTTGTCATCGTATCGATTTTCATAACCACGTGTGCATTAAATGTCGCGTTGGATTTTCGTAGAAAGAACCAGAAGTGAAACCCCCGCCAAGACTAAACTAAGAATAAAAATAATTCTTTTATGCGAGCAAAAACATTCTCGCAGTGTATACGTTTAATAATTATTTTACAAAATTAATATTGTTATTAATTTCGTTATTATAAATTTTTTAACAATATATATATGAAATAATCAATTTGATTGAGAAAAACAATGTATTTCACATTTCGAGTGCAAGCGGATATAAAAAGGCTCGACTTTTCTAGCGCAAGCTATTTCGCGCTTCGGCTACGATCAAGAGATGCCAAAGAAGTCAGATCGTCGAGTGACCTCTCTTAGCTCGTGTACAATATCGGAATTTGCCATTTTGTCGTCGAAGAAACGCGCTGAGAACGCTCTTCTGGCTGCCGACTTCCTCTCCTGCATTGCTGACATTCCTTCTCATCGTCTGCACGATAAAATCCGCGCGTAAAGTCAAGACGGAACGAGAGAAAGAAATAAAGCGCAAAAAGCCATCGTTAATTGTCATCATGTATTAGTGGCATCCAGTAAATACAATATCCGTTTCAAATAGAAATGAACGACTACGCGTGCGACATTATTATATGCCTAGAATAATATTTAAAAACGCCACTATATATCTCCTTTGAAAAATTAAGTTTTATTTAGTAAAGAACATGTTTAAAAAATGTTTAAGAGTTGCCTCCATCAATTGATCAATATTTCTCATTATCAATCAAATTCAAATTAAAAAATTTTTTTTATTGAATAATATTCAAACAAATCATAACGTAATATATTTATTAAAAGAGTAAAAAAAGTCGACGCTTGGTTATAAAATTATCGATACGAGAATTTTAAGTTCTTCCATTGCGAATAATTTTGCATACAATATTAAAGTTTCGAAATCATCGAAATGGAGAAACTTATTGTTCAATCGTGCACTCGTTAAAGATAATGTAACATATATGATGTTGAGACTTTTGTGCTTACCTTTTCAGAGTTTTCGAAGTCTAGTTTGAAAGCCCAAAGCTTCAATCTTGCTGGCAGTTCCGAGATGGAGGTCAAAGTCAGCAGGAACTGTTCGGCTGATCCTAAAGGAAGGTCAGGATTGGCGGCCTGCGCCTCTTGTATCCTGGACTTTTCTTCCTTGGTGGGCAGCATCGTCAGGAGTTTCTGTCGGGAGGATTTGGGGCAAGGAGAGGGACGAACAAAGAAGAGTAACCAATCGGAAGAAAATTAGAGAAATCAGAATAAACTCGAAAACTAGAATATATAGGTGCGTTTCAACTAAACTTCGACCGTGAACAGAAATTTGGAAAATTTTCAAGGTGCTCTGTTGATCTTAAATTAAAGCAGGATTTGGATCCATTTGGAAAAATGTTCAATATGCGGACGAAAAATCGATCGAGAATATTCGTGAGGTAGAAATCACGCAATCGAATGGAGTGAAAGATGAAAAATAATTTTATGTTGTAAAAATTATAGAATAAATTTCATCTTCACAAAAAGATTATAATAATCAAAATACATTGTATAAAATACATTGCGTGCATTTTCGAATTTTACGTTGCATATAAAGATATTATGTATATATATATATATATTTATTAATCTTATAACTTTTTAACAACAGTTTCTTGTGAAACCTATTAAAAATAGAAACTTTAGAACAAAATTAAAAAGTACAATATTCTCACCTCGATACCCTCTCTATTCATGATAGTAGCATCCATTTTTAAAATTGCAGTCTTGATAGATCTCGGCGGCGGCAATTTCGTCATACCGATGTTGATGGCATTCGACCTTTTGTGGTTCAATACGATGATCTCCTTGTTCTTATTCATCTCTTGCTGCTTCTGCTTGCCAAGAATAATAGAAGAATCTTCATTTATATTAAATTCTTGCGCTTAATATAAATTCTCGTTATTCACCCATATAGCATTTTGGGATTATTGCAATCGATTAGTATTATCGTATCAACATTTTTCTCACATAAATACTTGGCTACGAAAGCACACTATGAAAGCTACAAAAATATTGGAAAACGTTCACACGTGAATTCGTGAAACTGTAGTGATATGTGTGGGATGTATCGGAAATGCCGCTAAAACGAAATGAATGTAGCCATCCTTTTGATTGGGAGTGGCGATATATACCTACGTACATATATGGAATGCTCCCTGTCTGGCTATATAGATGACAAACCCACTGGAACAATTTTGTGTCGAATAGACGCAATAACTATCGATAACTTATTATCGGCGATAAGATCGCAAGGCTATTCTCCTACATCTGAACAATGCTTATTGCAAAAACATTCACAATATTTATGCGATTAAATTTCACGAATATTCGTATATATACAATAAACATAAATCAAAGCAGAAGCAAAATGTAGACCATAGTATAATAAGTTTAAAATAATATCTTTTCTGAAAAATAGTATCAAAAAGTAAAATATTTGTAAAATTTCTAATTTATATAACATACAAAGATTGTAAAGAAATTTATACAGAAACTTCAGATACTAGATTCTAGATACATTTCAATATCAATTACATTGGTTGTAAGTTGTTTTTTAAAATGAAAGTTACGGAAAATTATTACGTTAATTAAAGGAAAATGAAAGACTTTCATGCGGGATATTTGTAAAGCAAAAAAGAGAATTATAAACAACATAGAAACGGCAATTAGCTACTAATCAGTTACTGACAAAGCTTCAATATATGATATGCCTCATTGAAAACCAATGCAAAAGTGGAACGGAATGAAAGCAGAGATAGTAATTATCGATCACACATATCGTCACGGCAACGTTAAAAGCAACATCCGCTATTAATTATTGATCACCAGCAGATCGGCCAATTATGACGAGAAATGTGCGCGAAATAACAAACGGAAAAGAGGTTTATAACGGCGAAAGTGTAGCAGTTTTTTTTTTTTGGGGAGTGAAATATTTCCCGCGGAGTTTAATTAGTGCATTATCGTCGGTATGAAACGACATAAAATGCGCCAGATAGCAAAACCCACTCGTGAGAAGACTCATTCGAAACGCATGCATGTATATTGACGATCTATATTAACGACCAATAAAAAACCGCGAGGAAAGTTAAGGAATTAAGACTCACCTCCTATAAAATTCCAGCATGCCATTTCGTTCATTTTTTTTTCGTGCGAGCACCAACAACATTGCCAAGAATACAAGAAGAAGATTAGTCGTATTGCAGTAAACCATTATCACTATCACCATCCCGCTACTATCCGATCGCCATCATAATCGTTATACGCGAACGTTATCATAATCATTATCCCCGCGACATAACTACGTTATTAAATTAGCCGGTATTGGTACAGAGCTTATTTGATAATTATATATGACAGTGCATGTGTGTGAACCGACTGAAACCGAACGAAACGATTAATCGCGATCTAATTCCTTCATTTAATTTTTACATCCTTTTCGAGAAGAAAAATAATTGACGCATATATTTTTTTAAATAAATAACAAGAAATCGTATTTACGCGTGTAAATACACAGAGCTCATTGTATAAAATCTCGCTTTAGTATTTTCTCGAAGGTGTCTCGGATTGTTACAAAAAAATTCTCATCTCAATTTATATGTGTACAATAATGAAGAATATCAATTATAAAAAATAATTATCTCTTCAACTCCCGTGTGACGCTTAAGCTCTGGCCTCAAGCTTGTCTAGAACGTTCACCACGCTTTCTGCATTGATTTTTTCAATTTTCCAACGATTTTTTCCTCCTGATTAGTCCGGTACACACGGTGGATCGCGGCTCTGATTTACGGCGTTACGAAACGAGTGCAAGCAACTGTGCAGAACGCCGTTACTCGTGTCGAAGGCAAGTTTTCCTTTTACACCGTTTGCTCCCTTTACACCCTTGTTTCGTCGCCGACGGCGAGTTCGCAATTTTCTTGGCGCTCCGCCACTTTTTCGCCCTTTTTTATGAGCGCAAGTCGACTGTAATTATCGGTGTGTTATGCGGGTTCAAAGGCTAAGGAACAACCGGCGTCGGAAGCAACCGGAACGGAGAAATAATGCGCCGGTTTTCAGTAACGCTCGAAAAATACGCAAAACTCACCGTCGCGCTCGTTGTCGTAGCTCTTGCCGCGATTCAGTTTTGCGCATATACACGAAATACAGGTGAGTGGAAACCGATATAACCGCGGCATGTAATTACTGCGATTAATTAATGACGATATTCCCTATTCGACTGCAATGCTTCGGTGCAATGCCAATCAGTATTTTTCTGATTTTCTGACATAAACGGTAAAATCGTTATTGAAAATAAATACTGCACTTTGCAGATTGATATTATATCATTAATTCTTTTATGATATGTATATTTTATCGCTTCCATTTGCAAGCTTATATTGCTACAAATAATTATATATTTGATATATCGTCCGAATCCATTTTACTTAAAAGGAATTAAATATCTCGCATCAAAGTTAAAGAATAAAAAATATATCGTTAGGAATTATATTGTTCATTTTATAAATTGTATAAGTTTCGTTGCAAAAACTTACAAAGTCGATATACCATATTAATTTATATTCATTCTTCATTAAAATTTATAGCGTTTTAAAACTGGCTTACGCAACTTGCAAAATAATCGCCTCAATTAATTACTTTCTTTAATTTTATGGTTGAAAGATATAAAAGATAGATTACAAATGAATAAAGAATATTACCGCAGCATCGCCCTTAATTGAGGCATGCATAATTGCAGTTAAAGCGGTTTCTTTTACAATAGAAATAAACAAGAGATGGAGAGTATAATTTGCGATACTAATGCCGTAACAAAAAGGATTAAAATCAGTTTCTACATTTTCGCATACATCTCAGAGGCGATTTAATTTGATATTCCCAGTATTCATTTGTTAATTACCATAATTACAAGCTCGAGACCCATTGAGCTTAAATAAGTGAAGACAATCATTGGATTAAATTCATTATCCTCAACCAGAAAAAATAGCAGCAATCTCAAAAACTTTTATACAAAACACTACTTGTGCAATGCTACTTGAGAAAACAATTCATTTTACTTTATCAAATGAAAGTACCTAAATTCATGGTGAGCAGTAATTTCTCTCAGTTTTGCATTATTATCAAAGTCATAAGCGACGAGACGCGTCAAGCAAACGCGATAGGAAAATGTCATTCCCTGCATGCTTCGCGTGCAACCCCAAACTGCTGGCCCAACAGTCACGTAGAGTTTGTGTACATTGTGATTCTACGCTTTGTGCACGCTGGAATTTTAGCGCTACAGAAAGGTTTTTATGACAACCTCGCAAAAGGCAAGGTCGAACATTCGCATTAACGTATCACAAAATGGCTAGCATTGTAAGCAAACCACTACAAAGCTAAGTGAAAAACGGACTAAATCATAACAAATGATAACTTTCTAATGCGTCATTAAATGCCGTCGTTCATTTCTCTTCGGGAATGACTCGGGAATAATATACTTTTTTTTTTATCGAATCTTATCTGGATGATAAATTCAATTGATTGAATCGTGCTTGCTTAAAGGTAGCACTATGAAGATAAATAAATATCGCGGTGGAATGCAGCTTTCATTTTTATCTCGTTAAAAACGTCGGAGGACGTCGCGTACAAAACTGCAACGCATACACTTCGAGAGGCGGTCGCGGGCGGACTTGGTTCAAACGAGCACCGCTCTTTACGTCGCTGCCTTCAGCCGCCCGCCCGAAAACTCGCAGTTCGTTGCGCTCGTATGACGAAAACGGCGCGACTCGCGCCGAATCGCAAAGGAAGTCGGACGTGGAGATCACTCACCTTGGTGATGAGATCCTTGGCGCGGCTCTCGAAAAGATGCTCGAGCTTCTGCGTGTCGACGGCCACGGGTGTCAGCTCGTCCCAGATCATCTTGTGTTTGTCGAGTCGCGCGAGAATGTTAAGGTCCTCCCGCACCTCCTTCCAGAACAGCTTCACCGTCTTTTTACTCTTCTTCGCGAGCAACGACGGCGGACTTTTCGGCACGCTGCTCGTCTCGCTGGTCGGCGGCGGCGGCCTCGATATCTTCAAACTGACTCCGAAGGGCGGCGGCGGGCCCTGAGGAAGCGGCGGCGGCAGTTTTGCGCCCAACGGAGGCGGCGGGGGCGCGTCTCCGCCCGGAGGCGCCATCGGTGGCGGCGGCGGCGGCACTCCATTCGTTACGTTAGCGGATCCCAGCACATCGATCTCGTCCTCGGAATTCAAATCGGTGAAATCTAAATCGCAGAGCGCCAGCGGTCGCTTCAGCTTCTTCACCAGCTCCTCCCAGTGCAGCTCGTTCTCGGATTTCTTCGTCTCCTGCAGCTTAGGCAGGTTGTCGCTGGTCGGTGACTTCAGCACGTCCGCTTTTGATTTCGACTTCGCAAGGCCCTCTTTCGCCTTCGAGATCAATCCGCTCATGTCTCCTATCCTAAAGGCACGTACAAAAAATCGAATTGTAAAACTGCACAAATATTATGTCATTTTTATAATTGCTTTTTTCCAAATATAGCATGAGATTGAAAGATTGTATGTAAAAAATCTTTTAATTGAGCAATTAACATCGAATTATAGGACCCACAGAGAGCCCTACAATTAAATTTTAATGTTAAACACAAAAATAAGCTCTACGTTTAGTTCTGAATAATTGATAATAAAACTTTTATATGTTTATAACATCGAAATCATTGAAACTATATCGTCGGTTAATTTTCTCAATTTTTCAATTATCTGATTACTTTTTATCGGCTATCTAAAAATATTTTTACAGAATGTTTCTCTGCACTTTGTTGCACTCATTACTCGCATGATAAAGCTGCTTATCGATTTGTTGAAAGTTTTACATTCGGCGACCGCGGAAAGCTAACTTTTATACGAAACGTGCTACTTTTGCAATATCCCACGTAAAATTAACTCGGTGAAACTTCCAGCCCGAATACGACGAAGTTCGTACGACTTTTCCGGACTTTTCTTGTACCATTGTTGTTGTCAATATAGCCACCCTAATACGCTATTTTCCACTTCCACTTGTCATAAAAGTTAAACTAACTTTTGCGACACATTTAATAAGAAAATCATTTTAACGAATTGCAAACAATTATATTGTTAGCAAATTAACGTCCACTGAAAATTAATTACACTGTTCTCAATAGCAATAACACAATTGGAGATTCTAAATTTTATATATATATTAAATAAAATAAAATTATATCGACGAAAATAATTTTATATTAATAAGAAAAAATGTTTGTTTAAACACTTATATATTGACTTAATCCTTAATTATTTTTCCGAATACCGATTAGTGTTAAAATCTTTTATGCCCCAAATTTATTCCGCTTTATGACATTAGTTAAATAAATTTGTATATTTTAAAGCTCGAAGATGAGTAAGAGAGATGTGAGGAAGAAATCAATCGGGCAACATGCATCTGAAATGAAGGCTGCGCCTTTGCTGAAATTACCTGGAAACTTTCTCCTCCACGGGGCTGCTAGGTATAAGATTCTGCGCTGCTAACTTCTGCGTGAGATCCTTGACGGTTCCTTCCCTCTTAAGCTGTAGAACCACTCGACGATCTTCGTCTTCGTCGATGTGATTATTCTCGTCGTACTCGACACCTTCATTGGGGCTTTTGCCGTACCACGGCTTCTTCTCCTCCGAGTCGAGCTTGTTCGCGGCATTCATCAAGGGCGTCAAGTCCTTCCTGCTGTTCGTTCTGGACAACTTGTTCGAGGGAGAATCAGCGTTTCTCTCGTAAGTGGTGCCATTCGTATATCGCAGACTATTTGATGCAAACTGACCTTTAATGCATGAAAGCAGGACATATTTATGTAAACATCTCCCTGCGCACGCGCGCGCGCGCGATGCAATTTCGAAAGGAAATACGTGTATGGTGAAACAAGTATATATATTTATTATATAATATACATATTTGTAAAAAAACATAATATATTTTTATATCATTTATTTCTATATATGTATATAAAATATATTTGCAAGCTTTCTTTTTTTTTTGAAATTATGAGAATAGAAGAATCTTCAAGAAGGTTCAACGAAAAATTAAAAATCTTTCATGCAGTAGTTAAATAATTATTTGTGTCAGCACTCACTTTCCTGATCGTCGGTGTGACCAAGCGAAGCTCTCATGTTTGCGGTAGCCTCTTGTTGCTCTCTAATGAAACTCCTCTGTCTTTCCGCGCGTTCTCTTCGCCGTCTTAGCGCCGGTGTGACACCAACGTCCACTGAAACACGCGGAATTGTGTTTCCTGCATTAAAAAAAATTATTACGCTTTAAAAGGAATGAAATGTAAATTAAATTTTGTTTATATGCAAATTTTCTCTAAATTAAATAATTAATTTTGCTTCCGCGCTGGCCACAAAAATTGCAGAAATACTTTTTTATTGCAATAATATAAATTCATATAATTGACAGTAATACTGCTCTTTAGAAAAAAAATTAAATCGCAAGATATATTCAATCTATTACACAGTATTCGGTCTGATGTATTCGTGACATCTTCGAAGATCTAATGGAACATTTTATGCTGACCGCGTATCGCGTCTCCAATGAAATACGCAAGGGAACTGAAAACCGCAAGGTCTCGGTAGGCGATTCACCGATGCGGGAATCGTATCCCGTGGGCGTCCAAGTTCGTATTCATCATGCAATCGAATTGCTAACGAATCAATTTGCAACGTGCGCTAGTTGAAGTTGTCTGAAGAATTCGCAAAAATTGATTTCTGCATTAAGTAATACCATTTATATGATTCCAATCTTTACTGTTATTAGATATGTTCGAAAAATATATTAGGGTTAACTATATTTATACATATATATATATATTGAAATAACTTAGTAAAAATTAAAATATATGAAATATAAATTATATAAAACGATATTAATTCTGAAATGATCGCAATGAACGTTGTCGTGTGGAGCGCTTTATTCGTAATACAAATTTCCAAGATAGAAGTTAAAGAAAAACTAAAGAAATAATTACCTTTATTCTCTTTATAATTGCCATTGAGCTGAACTTCGCCTAGATGACCCTGGGAACTTTGAGAGCTGCTTGATTCGTTGTCATCATCTGGTAAGCTCGAGTTCAAGGTGTTGTTCAGTGAGCTCATCCCTAGAGAATGATTTAGCCGTGGACTCAGACGTGCGTTCAAGGACATCGACAGGGGCGAATTACCTGTCGAATGCCTCCGAGACTTTCGTCGTTCGTGAGAATCTACTAAAGACTTTCGGTTTCGTAAAGTCTTCCTGTAAAATCGAAAGAAAATTTTTCCTCCATTAAACATATCATTAAGTTCCATTAATATTATTAATATTTAATTGTAATTATTTAAGTTTGACAACTATTAAGTCTCGGAATTGTAAATTAAAACAAAATCCATTTAAATTGGACAACATTTCCGATTAACTCACACAGATATGTATCTTCTATTAAATATCATCAAACAAAAGAAGAAGAAATAAGAAATATCGGAATGACACGAATGCACTGTTCAATGCGCGCGCAATGCTACTCGCCTTATATTATCATCCAACTGGCGTATAGGCGAGCCCCTGTCGCCGTCCTCGTGATGCAGCACCGCCTCGTAGATCTGAAACTGCCTGAGCAGGTCGAGGTCTGTGCCCTGCTTCGACATGTACCTCTGGATAACGCCCTCCATACCCTGCTCCTCGAGGCAGTCCACCTGATCGTAGTAAGTGTCCTGATCGGGTATGCCGTTCAAGCATTTGTTAATCAAAGTCGTCGCGTATATAAGCAATTCCGTGTCGGCGGCATCGTAATCCTTGAGGAGTTTCATCACGTTAATCCACGGCACCACACCCCTGGCCTGGTCCACCGTTCTCACAGCCCTGACCAGCAGCAGACTGTTTGTTTCCACGTACTCGACGAACACGAGCAGCAGTTTCAGCGCCGTCTTCACCACCAGCCGAAAACGACTAGCAATTAACGTATACAACCATTCCACTGTCTGCCCGTGTTCCATCACCCCGTTCATACCGTCGACGTACAGCATCACCTGGCCGAGTGCTGCATGAATGCAAACGAGTTGCGAAATTAAACACGGCGAGCAAAATTGTTCCAGACAATCGCGCATAAAGAGAGACAAGTCTTTCCCCATTGTTCGTAAATGTACCTCTCTAGTGGATTTCATAGCTGCCCAAATAAGATAAAGGCCCGAAGAGTATTCGAGATACACGAGGGGAAAAGAAGGAGAATTATCTTTCAAGCATAGTTTAAGTATCCATTTTGGAAAGTTGACAAAGGAAAATCAAACCTTTGTGCAAACATATTACGGTTTTATCTTCACGATATTGCAAAATTAAATCTTTCTATAACACTGCATATTTTAATTTACATTAGATATCCTCGAATATTTGCTGCGGAACGTGTGAGAGAACGAATTATGATCAATGGTCCTTTTTTTTCCGCTGTTGATATCATATCGCAGTCATTTATCTTGTCCTTTAATTCGCGCTGTGGCACTTCGCTATATTTATCGCAATGCAAAAATATAAACGAGAACGGCGGCCTCTTCCGATGTAGGTGCGCAATGAGAAATAAAAGCACAACCTTCGTTGCAGCTGGGCGATACGAAACTCATCAATCTCGGCTCGAATTCGAAACGGTGTCTATTTTTTTTGCGCCATGCCGCTTCGTTGTTTACGAAACTGATTTCCGGCTCGTCCTCCGTGAATGCCGGCAGGTGCGACTAGAATTTAACGTGCAAATTCCGCCGATCGTGGTCGTAGGTTTCGCTCGGATTTTACCCCTATATGAAATTACGCCGAAAAACGTGCTCGCACTCACCCGTTGCCGCTTAAAACTCGCATGTTCTAACGAAAGCTCCATTCGCTGTGCCCGTAAATAAATTACGGCGCGCTTGGCGTGTACAATGTGAGAAAAATATAGAAAAAAGCTGTTGCAAAAAGGTACTCATGCATTGCAGGTAAAAGCCGTCTCAACTAAAATTAATTAGAAGCAGCGGGAACAAAAACGGAATCAGTCCTTTGTGCTGAATAATAATTGCAGCGAATACCATGTAGCTTGAAAATAGTAACAAAAAGTCCGTGTCATTCGTGCAACGCGCAAATTAAATGACTGATGTTACACTAACAAAACCGTAAATCGAATAAACCAATTATGTGAGTAATTGGTCGATTCGAATCTAAGTATAAGTCACCGTCGCAACTTAAATCCAATTGTACTGAATTGACTTTGTTTGCAAGAATGTTAATAACTTATTTCCGTCAAAATCGTGTTATACGTATAATTTAATATCGAACGTCTAATTAATGTCAAAAATAATGTACATAAAGCATCGACAATTCCAAATCGAATATTCGCGCGTATCGGATTCAACAAATGACTTACATTTTGTCTAGCACGATCAAACTTCAAATAAGGCTTTTACCTCGATGCAAATGTGATACTGTTTACATATAGAAATTCTCCAGTGGAATATCATTAAAATTCTGATATTCGCGCACCGTGTGCATCGTTTCAACGACACATTCGTGCTCACAATGGCAATGAACATAAAATAATTTAAGCACGTTCCATCGACGAATGTTAATCCAACCGTTATCGTTACGCGAGCCATAAGTTATGACACAGAATCCAATTAGGAGCCTAGATATGGATCGCACCGCGTAATCAGCGAATGCCGAATGTGCGCCATATTACAGTAGATCGTTGTAATCTTCAAACGGATCGCAAAATGTCGCGTGTGTTTCACATATAGATATACTAGATCCGTCATGCTACAACTCATTGAAGAATCTATCGAAGATATACATGATGATGCGTCATTTGATATTAAATTTATATTAATATACTAAATTTATATTTATATTAATTAAAGCATTATAAAGAAGAAATAAATTAATCTAAGTGACTTCGTTAATAAAAGCTGTGAAAATAATGATAATTAAAAAGAATAATAATAAATTGCGTAAAACATGCCAAATAACAAACAACGATTAAAGAAAATTATCAAACAATTACCAGATCACGCTTGAATGCGCATAAACGCGACCGTTTTTGCCAACAAATACTGTTTGAAATCGCGTACATGACACTAAAATCTTCACACTTTCTATGGACCCCTAATTTTCCAACGCGAATTCCTCGACTCGCTGCACTCCATGTGATAGTCACGCGAATGCGACGAATGCATTACAGAATTACGATGTAGAATTAGCGCGCTCGCTCGTGTGTAAGTCGATGGTTTACGGAGCACTTGAGGAAGGCTCCGAGATACTGCACTTGAAAGGCGCGATCAAAGGATGCCATTTATAATTCGCGACGCATCGCAGTTTGACGAGTAGTTGCAAGCCACCGTGGCTCCCACGTGTCGACGCTTTCGTAAACGCGGCGCGTTAACACTTACAAAGTATCACCTCATCCCGCCGGGCTTTTAGACGATAATATCATCGTCGCCACGTCTTTCTCGGAAAGGCAAAGACGAGAACGTTGATGCCTCGCTCGTTAAACTCTAGCTGCATTACGCCGGTATTATCTTATCGTTACCTCGCAAGGTTGCGGCGGAGAGGGAGCGTAGAAACGTCCGCGTCTACCACGAAATCTCAGCGTGCATGTGACGGCAAGGTCGCACCGTTCTCTCAACTTAATTTGCGAGGTCGCTCACGGTACGACTTTCTCGTCGACTAATTAGATGCATCATTTGCTGCTTTTATTGCGAAAATTGTAGAATAATCATTTGCTGTATTGTTATCAAATTCCACAGCGAGAAGTTAAGCAACGATCACTTACGAGCTATAAAAGTTAATTTAGTATCTATAAAGGGAATACGATTAATAAAGAAAGCATCTAATCAAATTTCATAGCATCTTAAAAAGAAGTTGTTTCGATCTGCAACATCTATTAATGAAATTACCTCGTTTTTATATCTAATATACACAATTCGGAATATTAGAATCAAAATAGTTACTAAAAAATTGGAGCATATTAATTCTTGATTTCCTCGAAATAATTAAAACAAGCGATAAATAATTAACTTCAATTAAAAAGATAAACGTAAAATAAATATTCTTTCAGAAAATTTCATAGAACGTATACTTATTTCCTGATTGTTTTTATCCAAGAAACATTAAAAGCCACTTATATAAAATTTAGTCTTCAAAGGTTTCATTTCTAGAAGTTAAAATAATTTTTATATAAGTTCGTGAAAGTCATTTTGAACTTTCGCTCGCAGAGAAACTGCAGTTCGATTTTAAGTAAGTGAAGGTTTCATCGATAGCAGTAAGGAAGTGGTTTAAGCGAGAAAAGGTCTAAGTTCTATTAAGTTAGAGGCGGACATTAGAGGCGCAGTTACCCTTCGATTTTACGATAAATGAATAGAGTACTTACCTCGTAAAATGTAATTCTGGTAATTCTGGTCGGCCTCACTGCTGACTTTGATAAGGCAGGCGAGTCCGTCATTTTGCACGAACTCGTGCACCAGATCCTTGTCCTCCTGGAAAATTGAAATTTGCGATAAGCTGACTTGATTATGATTTAGCGCGGTGACAACATTAATCCATGTTGACGTGCTACACAGGAATAGTTTGCAGAAGTGCTTTCCTAAAGACCTGAATGCGTTTATTGCAGCTAGATACGCTTCTTAATTGTATCAGAACGGAAAGCTTTTAGTACACAACTTAGAAAATTACTGCAATACGTTTTCAACATTTGCGTCACGCGCGTAATTCACTTTGCGTCAAAGTAAAAAGTATAAATCGGTTAAAAGCGGATAATTAATAACTTTAAGCTTTCCACAGTATTATAATTGCTTGTTGAATATACTTTTTTTTTACGTATAGACAGCTTCAAAGACCTTTTCCGCTCATTTATATTTTAACAGCAGTTCGACAACTCGCGTCATTTGAACAATTTCGATTCTCAAGCTGTGGCGTTTTCAGATTTTACATATATTCTGCGATTTTTCTAGATGTGCGCGGTTAATGTGGCTGCTGATATCCGATCCTGACAGCGACGTCACGGCGGCGTGATTTACCTCTACATTACCACCTAAGCCCAATTCGCTCCACCGCGCAGCCGGGGTTAAATGGAATTAGTTATGCCGCTCCGGGCGCAAAGTCGCGGGCATAATGGAAAATCTACGAAGTTTGATTAAACCCCCTCGTTTCCAGAGCGTCGCGACGCCGGTTCCGTGGGCCGGCTTCGCGTACTCGTTGGACTTCTCCGGTTCGCGTACTTCGGTATTCTCCCTCATTTCCCCTCTTCCGCTTTCCCCCGCCAGTCGTGGAACGGCGGAAGTTTACACGGGACTTAGACACGACGTAGACTCGATTAGCTCGGCGGATTAAGAAGCGAAATTGGACTCGTACCGATGCATTTCCCGCGCCGCGACAGGAACGTGGCACCGGCCGACGGGGAGAAGGACAAAGGGCACGTACGCATTCGAAACCTGGTGCCTCTCGTAGAAGTAATTATGAAATACGTTCACACGACGTCCCACGACTAGATTAGATACTGAGCGGACGTATAGTTGATTTACGCGACGGTAAATTCAATTAGCTGTACGGATTAACGACGAAAGGGAATGCGGAGGATATGCAAGAATACGAGAGATATGCGGTCGTGACGAAGGCTGAAATTCGCAGTAGTGATAATCGGAAGGGGGATAGGATCGTTAAACGCGGGTAAAATTTAATTAACTCGTCCGACGTAAGAACAAAATTAATTCGGTATTTCCAATAATCTTATCTCTCGAAATTGTTGATGAGAGATACGGACGATAAAAAGCTCATGAATAGATGAATTATTTACCTCTTATAAGTAAACTGAATATTAATACGCGATAAATTTAAGTATATATTTCGAGAGAGAGAAAATGAGAGCAATGTGCTCTGACTGACGTGCTAATCTTTGTGACGGGAAACGAGAATTTTTTTCAACGAAAGGAATATCAGATGGAAGAAAATCGCTCGCGGAGAAAGTGGGACATTATTCTACAGCTGAAAAAAAAGTTGACCGAAATCATTATTTCGATGAAGTAAAGTTGCTGATACAGCAAATTTATATTTTCAAATAGTGAGAACTTAATAATGAGATTATTTTCAATAGGTAGAAAAGAATTTGGAACAATACAAGTTTTCATATTTAGTTTTCTGCAAACACTCTTTTAAAAAATGTCATTGCTTACAGTTGGAGAAATAATGTGGTAAACAAATATGCATTACACATTTATTCTTTTTATACTTATCTGCTCATAATTATCCTTATAGGCTGCAATTCGACAGTATGTTATTTGAACAACTTGCAGAAACAAATATTATGAATTAAAACTGCCAAACATTTAATTATAATTTTCACTCAGATCAGGTTTCACGAAAAGAAAGAAGAGAAAAAAATCGCGCGCGCGCGCGCATCTTCGACAAAGATACACTCGCTCGAATCGCCATGCAAATATTTACTCGTCGGGCAAGTAGCTTCGCGTAAAAATATCCTTCTCTGCCGACTTCGTCGCACATCCCGCACCCCCGTCCTCCTCATCCATCCAGCCCCACCACCATCCGTACGCTCTCTCACCCTTCTCGCACGACCCCGCTCGCTTTATCGTATCGCGAATTGTAAACTCACCTGAAAGATCTGCTTGAGGGAGAAGAGGGCCCGTCGCAGCTCGCGGCCCTCGCTGTTCAGCAATTTTTCTGCAACAGACAAGCAACACGCAACCATTTATTATAATAATACCACGCACGCCGCGCCGTCGTCGTCGTGGGCGCGCGCGTATTGTTGCGCGCATCCAAGTCCGGCGGACTTGGGGTCCCTTTCTGCGAGAGACCCCCGTTTTCAGATCACGGTACTTAAAGAATGCCGTAATGAAGAGGCCGCGCGTTTACCTCTAGTGGCCTCCACCATGGCGGCGGTTTCATGCGACCGCGCGCGCGCATACTGCTAATTTGATATAAATTGCCGTCCGATTATTGAATGCAGCCCTCGGGCGAGATGGGGAATCTTCATCGTTCCATCGAAACTAATTTCAGTATCACTCGATGAAAACTGAAATAACGAAACATATCGGCAAGAGGGAAAAAAATCATGATGACAGATCGATCAAGTTGCTGCATGAATAAGCGATGCAGTTTTTATAAAACGCACTTTACATGTTTCTTAAGACGTGAATTAACGATGTAAAATAAGATTTGAAAAGAGTTTCACAGAGCTATTTTTTATGAGAATTTCTGAATTAAATTTGCAATTTCGCTTTTTCCAAGGGATGAATATATGCTAACCTATTTTTCAAAAATAACTAATAAACCGTTTTACTTAATCTCGACGAAAATGTCTTGGAGTAATGCTTTTGTAATTTTTTCCAGTGACCGGCGCAATCGATAATAAACCGCATGAACGCGAAACACATATTCGACACGAAATTCCGGCGTGAAACATATCCTCTATTCCCGCAAGAATTCATGATCCCATTGAGAAGCACGTCGCTTGACTCCTCCCTCCCTCGGACGTGCTTGTTTATCGTGCAAATACCGGGCAAACACCGCTGTGCAATTAAACACAGGTTCGTAATTAAGTCCGATCAATTTTGCACACCGAATTCCCGGTTGAAATCTCCGCCGCTCGTCCCGTCTCCGCGTCTATTTTTCTTTCGGCACCCAGCGCGCGATCCTTTTCCAATCATAGCTCACGACTCACCGTATTACTAATAATTGAATTCCATTTCACTAGCGGTGCGGCATGGCAAATTCAATTTGCCGACCGCGCCGGGATTTCTCGATTCTCTCGCGAAAGTTCGTCACGACGGCGGAAAAAGGAACGAATCTAGTGGAATGCGTTATCGCGTGAAAACGTGGAAACGCCAATACACCATGAACAATTTTATCGGAAACAAGGCGATACGATCGATGGAAGTCGGACATGTCGGTGCGATGTGTTACATGCAAAAGACAGTTTTTGCCTACGCTGTATTGATAAGCACAATTTATTTGTCACGGGTTTTACATTTCTATACGGAAATTCAAAAATAAATATGCGATATTGGTAACATGTAGATTCGCATGATGTGTAAAATATTGATCACATCAATCATTTCTTTTTTTTTATCACGAATGTGCGCTATTTCCTTTTAGGATAACATTTTTTTAAATTTTGTTAAGAATCGATCAATTTCGACCAAAAAATTTTATCTTCTATCTCGAGATTAATTTTTACATACCATTATGCGTTTAGCACGCTCGGCGATAGTTTAAACATAAAGATAATCCTCGCAGTCGCATCTTTTTTGCGATTTTTTACATAATCACGCCTTTTCGTCTACCCGAGTCACGGTTCGCGGCGAACTCAATTCGCGATCTTTTTCGCGGAAAAGAAGGCTCGGTGCGACCGCATAATCCACGGTTATCACGCGATCTTCAAATGCATAATGCATGCAGAGGAAGACGGTCGAAGGAGAAAGGAGCGACGGAAACAACGAACAAGAAGGAGAAAGAAGGGAGATATGCAAGCAAAGGTAATTAGGAGTTCGCTGCAGGGTAGGCAAAGGAGTTGAGAAGAAGAATGACGGCATGGAAGAGAGAACGAGCGACGCGTCTTCTAAGAATAGCGGTCCCAAGGCCCTGGGGCCCTTGGTCCCTCCGTAATCAGTGACCATATAAGCAAAAGTCCCCGCGTCTCCCTCTCCGACCCTTTTCGTCTCTCCGTCTCTCTGTCCCCACGTTGTATCTTCTTTTCGTTGCTAGGCGACTTTGCCGACTCCGTCGTAATGCGCTATTGTTGCTCGTAGACCCTCTTTCGCTTAATTTTCATCGTGATCGATGTTCGGGTTTCAACATTGAATGACTGCTCGCGCACTTTATACGTGCTACCGTAAACAATCTACTGACCTATTTCCGGGTGAGAGATATTCAGAGAGTTACGCGTTACAGAAACTCAATATATTCTCTACGTGTATGATTTTAAAATGTGTTTACAAATATCGACGCTGAGCTTCTTCCAACATACAAATGTCAATCTCAGCATCTTGGGCTGATATGTTCGCGTTACTTACGAAACGTTCGTGATATATGCTTATTTATAAAATGGATTAAAGACATATTTGCAAAAGTCTCATGTTAGCACAAAAAAATCAATTTCGTGGAAACATGTAGTAATCTAAATTAGTTCCAATTAGACCAAGCTTGAAGAGAGAATTTTTATCAATTAGACAAATTGAATTAATTGAACCAATAAATAATTGAGAAAAGTATAACAAATAAAAAATGTAATGTAATAAAGATGTATATATACATCATATTTTGTATGACGTGTAGGCACTCAGTTTACAATTCGTACACTACAATATTCAGGGCGTTCTTAATGCTTTATTTCTTAGGATCCGTGAGCGACTCGACTGTTCCTTGTTTTTCGCACGACTGACTCGCGGCCCCATCTCACGTGATCATAACAATACTCACGCGGAAGAAAGGCGGGCACAGACCCGGTAACAAAAGATAAAATAACTAATACAAAGAAAATGCCTACAGACGTAATAACAGAATATTACTATTTTTATCACGATTACTCATTTGATAGACGACGCCAATTGGCATATAACATTACTCTAATATGAGAACAATAAAAACTAAATGAGAAATGTCAAAAAAATACCGCAAAATATACTAAAATTACAGATTATTAGTTGTGAAATAAGAGTCAATTAGAGAACGTGTTTTTTTTCAAATTTTCAGCACAATATTATATTAAAATATATACAATAAATTATAATTAAAAATACTCAAATAGTTTTTAATTTGAGTTCAATATTTCTCATAAATATGACAAAAAAATTACAAAATTTTTATTTCTTTATGCAATTAAAAATAAAACTCGCGAAAATAAACATCAAAATGGACTCGCAATCTGTGACAGAGATGGATA